CCAAAAAAAAAGGTTAAAAAAAAACAACAAAAAATAAAACAAAAACGAAAACAAACTAAAACTTTTTACTTTATATTTTACAAATGGCCCCAGGTTCAGCGTGGAGCCAGTGAAAGAAGCCGAGTGTCCTGATGGAGAACTTGGAAACTCTGCTGCCAAGACACGTCGATCTGGTCATTCCAATATAACTTTCCAGAATTCAGATAAAGTGTCAAGGTAGGTACCAGACCAACGCCAACTCTAGCAGTTAGAGTAGGCATTGTACCAGACCCAATTACTCTAATAGATTATTATAGAAATTATGTTTTATTTCAAGATGTCTCAGCCCTCTGTCGTTGACCGTTTATCGGACCTGTTGTTTTAAAAAATATTCATTTGGATCTAAGTTGCGTTTTTTTTTTTTCGAGCCCATAACTTGTTTTGTTTAATTCATGATCTCATCCCCATGAATTACGGGTAATCAAGATATATTTTGGTTTAATGCTTGCCATATACAATATAGTGGATATGAAGGAGACGCCATGAAGGCATTGGTGGCTACGAGACAGTTGATTGATTAATAAACAAATGGGTAAACGTTTTTTTTTCTTTGTACTAAAAACAAATTAGATTCCCATTTCTTGGCCTGGACAAAGGGACATGTGGACAACAAATAGATCTAACACACTTTTTAGCATTCAATCAAAGATTTTGCTGAGGAAACTATTAGGTCTTCCAAGGAATAGTGTGATTTTTAAATCTCGCAATAAGGCTTCCTTGAAGGAGAGAGGGCTCCTCTATGCAGAGGATACAACAAGTGTACTTTTGTGAGGCAAAATTTCACTAGAAAGTGTCGAAAATAAAAGAAACGATGTAGAAACGAAGATTATATTCGCCGTCATTGACCCATGAAGTATCCGTGTCTTTGTGAGAGAAATTGGAGCACGCAAAAAAAGTTAAAATCCTAGAAACATATTTGTGTTCATGTTTAGATTGTGGCTTGGATTGGAAATTTAAAAACCTACTTACTTACTGGCACACGTTAATAAATATTTGTTTTCCCCTTCATTTAAAGATAAATGAGTCTGACTCCGAAAGACCCTTTCACGGCTATTGCATGATCAAAGCATTGTGTGGAAAGCATCTTTGAACAACCACATCTTTATAGTTATTAAAGTAAATTTTGATCCCACACTCGTATACTAATTTAAACAAGTTGTTCGCACATGGCGCCTTGGACATCATACGTGGACATAGGGAAAGCAGAGACCCCAAATGAGCGTGCTCGGGATAGGTGAAGTAAATTTCAAATAGGTTTACTTTTACCATTTTAGAAATACTAAATACCGGGTTTAACGATTGCGCTCCAGTGAGCAATCGTTCCGCAGAGTACTTTTACCATAAAACCCCCCAAAACAACCCGAACAAACAAAACAGCAACAACAACAGCAACGACAAAACATCTAAATTACGAGCTTAAGTATTGTACTCTTATAAACAACTAACGATTCCGCAGAGTACCAGAGCTGTCCGCCATTGAGGAAGGGGGTACGGTGACCAGCATAAGGCAGCTGGTTACGAGACAGAGTAGTTCTGACAGCGCTGGTTTGGATGATCTCGAGGACAGTCCTACTTTTGCCAGCACCTCCCAAGTGGACGCGCCTGAGGCAAGTGACAATGCTCGAAGAAAAGGATACGACAGTTTCAGTACTCGCTCTAGGTAAGACCAAAATGTGAGGCATCGTGGTGGAATCAGGCTCTCGTCAAAATAATAAAATCGAAGAAATTGGCATTTTCCTGCCCGTTTCGCAATTTCTATCAAAATATAATTATTTGGTTCTAAGCTTTTATGTCCATTTTAAAAACATATTTATGTGTGGATTTGTCTGAAAACGAGGATTAATGGCACCAAAAAAAAAAGTAAAATAGCATTTTCTAAGGACTCTCAAGCTTTAGAAGTTACCAAATATTGGCGGCCATTTTCTCGCTAATTCTACCTCTGAAATCAGGTGACCCCACCTCCATCAATCGAAAATATATCGACTTCTACTCGAGATAGATGGGTATTTTATTCACTGGAAGCAAGACAAATGAACAAACTTTAAGAAGGCACCAATAACTCCACATGCCAAAAAAATTGACGAACGCTTGACTCCACCGCGTCATGACAAAAATGTTCTCTGGAGTCTTGTGACAGTGTTTTGCCAGATGACGTATTTCCTTTGTGTGTACGTGTTAGAGAAGACTTCTTATTTTTTTATTTAAAAAAAATTGTTGTCAGGTTTCGACTCTAGGACATTTTGAATAAGAGGCACACACCGTACCTTTTGACCACCGGAACGCCCTAGTGTGTGTGTGTGTGTGTGTGTGTGTGTGTGTGTGTGTGTGTGTGTGTGTGTGTGTGTGTGTGTGTGTGTGTGTGCATTACACTCTTTATGTGTGTGTGGTGTGGGGTGGTGTGGTGTGATGTGGTGTGATGAGGTGTATGTGTGTGTGTGTCGTGTGTGTGTGTCGTGTGTGTGTGTGTGTGTGTGTGTGTGTGTGTGTGTGTGTGTGTGTGTGTGTGTGTGTGTGTGTGTGTGTGTGTGTGTGTGTGTGTGTAAGGGGAGGGGGAAGAGGTGTCAGCTGAGGAAGAAGTCCATGTTATTTCAAGGTGAGTACTTTGTTTCAGGAGATAAGGATTTCCCCCCTCCCGCCTCAAAACTTAGGGAGCTGGTGGTCGAATCATATCAACTCAAGAATACTGTCTCTGTGCAAACTAAGTCGATGCTGATTGTGGAATTCTTTGTTTGTTCGTTTGGACGATTTTAAAGCCTGACATAATAATTATCATTTAATATACTTTGTAAAAAGGAAAATGGTAAACATAAAATAATAGACAAAGTGTTAAAAGTAGGACAATGACGAACACACCCCAAACACCAACTAAGAGGTTTTTAAACAAAAGGATGGCAATTTGTAAAAAATGGATAGCTGTTCGCTGTTGCACGCAGTAAACGTGCTTCGAATCCGGAGTGAGTATGTGGTTGTTTTTTTAATTTTGTAAATCGAGTATTTCTATTCACTGGATTGGCGCTCAAATGACCATATGCAGTTGCGAGCGCCGTAAAACCTCTACTAAAACAAACACAATTCACTGGATGTTGAGCCGCTTTCATCCTGGGTTGGCCCCGAACAGCTGGTTTAAAGTAGCCCGACCTCTAAATGATCTAGTTTGTGATAAGGAAGGACGTAAGACGTACGTTTACAATACTGCAATTTTTACCTGATTTTTTTTTTATCAACCAGGAAATGGATCCAGGACTCATCTCAGCCCAAGAGAAGGAAAAGTTGCACAACAGAACTTCCACCGGTTCATGAACATGAGGAGGCGCATGCGCATACCGACAGTAGCAGTAACCGGGACCAATCGTGGGCCTTTCTTCAGCACATGGAGTCAATACGTAGAAGTTCCGATCCTTGTGAGGCATCATCTCGTGAGTCGACACCAGGAAGACAACATCCCGCCATTCCCCAGATTTCAATTGAAGAGGCGTGATTGGGGCACTGGAGGAGAGGGGAAAAAACCGAAAGTAAGAGTAATAAACCGTCAAGAATAGATCTATCTGCGACAGCCGCTAGAACTCAAACTTGAATCATTTTCCCAGAAAAGAAACCGAATCGATCATTTAGAAACAAAAGTCCCTACGGGGCTCTCGTGGCCTAGAGGTTAAGGTGTTGGCCTCTCATTCAAAGGTCCCGGGTTCGAATCCGGGTAGTGACCGAACAATTTTCTTCTCTAAAATTGTCTCCTTTCATCTCCTTTCCTGCTCTCTAGCAATGTTCTGTTGTCTGCTTTCATTTCCACTTTCTGCCCCCACCCCCTCACCTCCTTTGCCCCCTCCTCGGGGCTCCTGACTCTTTCTGCAGCCTTTCTACTGCTACCCCTTGGCTCCTCCTTACTGCTGTCTTTCTGCCACACCCCTGATCTTCTGGTAGGAAAGATCTACACCTAGCCTTCTCGGACAAGGGCGAAAAATCTCGGAGGGCCCGTGTGCAAGTTGCGCGCGTTTCAGATCCCTTGGTGGTCTAAAATCGGTAAGAGTAGGCTTCGGCCGCCACCCGGGCAAAATTCAGAATTTCCTACCAACTGAAAACATAAGGAGTGTCCCGCGCGCTCATATGACCTTATGCAGTTGCGAGCGCCGTAAAATACTTTACAAAAACAAAAACAAAACAAAAAGTCCCTACGGTTAGTTTTAGTTATACTATGAGTTTTACGGCACTTATCACTTGACTAGACTATGTTAAAGTGATAAAGATTAGAGATGTTACTAAAGAGTAACATACAAGGAAGAGAAAGAGGAGATTTTCATTTTTGAAATAGCAAAGAAGGAACAAACCACACAACTGCGCCCGTCAACCACCCACTCCTTCTGAAGGTGTACCCGCTCGACATTGGTCGACAACAGTCACTATGCTGGATTATGTGTAGAAAGAAATTAGAGAAATAGAGTGTCAATAACCTTCAAAGTTCACGCATGAGAACAGATTTTTGTTCTCGCATTTATTTACATGTATTACATTTTCTCAACATATTTCAATGAAATCGTTTACCACTAATAATATTGTTGGAAGACATTTTTGTTTTCCAACGTTTAATTAAATGGGCGCAGGGCGCATTTCTCTCCCAGTAGGGAGTCGAGCGAGATACACAAGGACTTGAATTATAATTCATATCCCAAACTGTGCACTGTAATTTGTAATGATCACCCCCCCCCCCCTCTCACTCTCTCTCTCGCTCTATTTCTCTCTCTTTCTCTCTCTCTCTCTCTCTCTCTCTCTCTCTCTCTCTCTCTCTCTCTCTCTCTCTCTCTCTCTCTCTCTCTCTCTCTCTCTCTCTCTCTCTCTCTCTCTCTCTCAAAACTTCATAACGAAGCACGCCCACCATGGACGCGCAAATGAAGGACCAAAGGCCAGTCTTGCTACAGTCGGGTGTATGCAGCACACCCCCCCCCCCCACACACACACACTTCTCCCCCCCCCCCTCCCTTGCCTGCCTTAATATGGCTCCAGGTAAATAAAATGTGACACTCCATCATTGACCGGAATTACGTCCGAGTGCCCTGTCAAGGACATTATTATTATTCAAGTCTATGGTGGGAGATAATACGAAAGATAACCTGTCGTAGCGTTCATGCTGCACGCTCTCCACAACAACAAAAAATAATGCTCGGGTCAATTTGCTTCTGTCATTAAGCATACTTATCGTCATTTAGTGTGTTAGCGATAAGTTAACAAACGATATTAACTTACAACATGTTACATGCGTTTGTAACAATTTGCTTTTGTCAACAAACATTCTTATTGTCATTAGGTATCTTGGCGATTAGATAACAAAGTATATTATTAACTCTAAAAATCTTATATGCGTGAATTGCAGCGAACACTCCTTGTGTTTACAACATACCTGTTATATCATATATTCTCACAATGGAGTTCATGTTATGTATCATTGACCTAACAGCATTGAAGTTTCGTCTGTTTGATTAAGGACGAAAGTAGCCTACGGAAAAAAAGGGGAAATGTTGGCCTGCACATTCTTGTCTGATTTGATCGCTTATGATGAACTTTATAACGATTGTACTGTAAAGCTGGTTTTATTTTCATTTGCTTGCCTAAAATTAACAATCATTGATCATACCATTAATCCACTGTTTGTTTACATGCGTCTGTGGTGTATATCTAGGTCTTCAGTCTTAGGCTTAAAAGACTCTTGTTTTTATTATTTCTATGCACGAAAGATATTTCATCTTGTGTTTCTCTACTGGCGTCTGTGGTTTAGCGGTTAGGGACTTTGCTGTCGCACGCAGGAGACCCGAGTTTGATTCCCGAGTGGGGAGAAAACTTTAATCGAGTGTCTCGGTCTTTCTGCTGGGATGTTGAATTTGGAATCCCTCTCCGCCCAGGTTGACTCTGACAGGCTGGGTGGAAACCAGCCTCTTTCGTGATCTAAATTGCGTCGACTGGGACGTAAAAGACCCTACATTTACAAAAGAAAATTGTATCTCAGTCCACTTTGAAGCCGTATCTAACACCCCGCTCCCCCAGATCATCTCCTGGAGGCGGGGTCGAGACAGCCACCCCCCCTCCCCCCACCGAATAATCTAGAGTGTGCCGATGGAGAGTAAGAATTTACATGCACAGATATCATTATGTAATATCATGTAGTTTAATACAATAATGTCTTTCCACAAAAGTTCAAGTAAAACGCCTTCTGTATAAACATTAGACGCTCTGTGAGGTTTGGCAAGTCAGATATCATATTGAATGAGAGAGAAAGTGAGAAATAGAAAGATGGAGAGACATATT